GGAGATCTCAACCGCCGAGACCATCATCTCCTCCCCGCAAATTCCTTCTTCCCTGAAGTTCTTGATGAGCAACATCAAGAATGTCATTGCCAATCAACTAACGGCCGACAATCACGGACTATGGAGATCTCAGGTCATCAAGCTCTTTCGGGCAAACAACTTTGAAGGATTCTTGATAGGCGCCATCTCTTGTCCGCCTCTCACGATCCAAGACAGCAGTGGTCATACCGTCCATAACACCGCTCATAATACCTGGACTCTGCTCGATCAAAACCTCGCCGCGGCCTTATACTCGGTTATCTCCCCTTCCATCCTACCCTACGTCCTCACCGCCGATCACTGTTGCGACATATGGAAGATTCTTGACAGTCGACTACAATCTTCAACACGATCTCGTATTTCTCAGCTCAAGAACGAGCTTCACTACCTATCTATGAAAGACAAATCCTTGACTCAGTACCTTCTTGATGTTAAATCTAAAGTTGACGCTCTCGCAGCAGCAGGCGCTCCCGTCGAAGTTGAGGACGTCATCCATTACACCCTCAATGGCTTACCCATGACATACCAGGCATTTAAAACTGCCATTCGCACGAATCTCCGCTCAGTTAGTCTTGATGAGCTCTACACACTGTTATGCAATGAGGAGCTTAACCTTCTCCATGAAACATCCAAAGAACTTCACAATCTAAGCATTACAGGACCTCAAACCGCCCTCACAGCCAATCGCGGGCGCGGTCGAGGGAGGTCATCTAACAACAGAGGAAGAACCAACACCCGACCTCAATCCAATTCAAACTCCAACCGCCCTGGCAAAACTAATCGTCCGGCCATCAACTGCCAAATATGCGGCAAATTCGGCCACTCAGCCGTCAAATGCTGGCATCGTCACGACGATCAGTACACTACTGAACAACCGGTCGCCCTCTTCACCTCCCCCGCTACAACCAGTTCTTCTGACTGGTTTCTTGACAGCGGCGCAACGAACCATCTCACGGCCGATCCAACCCAAGTTCAGCAATCGCAACCTTATCACGGGGGCAGTCAGGTAACTCTTGGGAACGGCCAGACCATACCAATTCAAAATACGGGTAAAGGTCTGCTGCCGACTCCCACAGGTAGTCTGCAACTTTTACATCTTAATCTGGTTCCGAATTTATCTTTTAATCTGTTATCTGTTCATAGACTAACCGCTGACAACAACTGTTTTATAACGTTTTTTCCTCATGGCTATGAAATCAAGGATCGGAAGACCCACCGGCTTCTTCTATCGGGTCCTTCTATTAATGGACTCTACCCCCTCAAGCTCAACAAAAATCCGGCAAGCAAGAATGACAATCTCGCACTCGTTTCCATTCAACAGGTTCCCAACTTGTGGCACAGAAGACTCGGACACCCTTCACCGCAAACTTAGGCCTCCATCGCCACACGGGATCCTACGGTTCATACGACATCTCATATAACTTCTTGCAATTCTTGTAAAATGGCCAAAAGCCATATATTACATTTTTCTTCGTCTCAAACTGTAACAGACTCTATCTTTTCCCTTATTCATTCGGACGTATGGGGTCCGTTTTCCATTGTTTCTGCTTCTGGTTTTCGTTACTATATTTCTTTTATCGACGATTTCTCTAAGTTCACGTGGATCTACCCCATGACCAATAAATCAGAAGCCTTCTCTAAGTTTCTTGAATTTCAAAATTCGGTTGAACGACAATTCAATCTGAAAATTAAAATCTTAAGAACCGATAACGGAGGCGAATACATAAATCACAAATTCAAGGCCCACTGCACTTCCACCGGCATCCAACACCAATTTACCTGCCCGTATTCCCCATCTCAGA